CAACTTCAAATTTTTTCATGTGCTTTCATGTCTTCAATTGGATTCGATTTTTTTCTTTCAATGTTTCTTAATCAAATGATGGAATTCTCACAAAGAACAACTACAATAAAACTATTATATTGCAGGAAAAGATGTTTAGGGAAAAGAATTGAAAAATAAATATACTATTGCACATAGAAACTCGTGAAAATGCATTTTCTTGTAGTACAAACAAACCAATAATCACTTATCTCTATATAGATACTACATTAACACCAATAGGACTCCTTACATTTTGTCTACCATTCTTCCATGTCAAGGCACCAAACACAAAGTTTCCATTACTATTCTTGAAAGGGATAAAATCAATCCTAAAAGTTAGCCTCTGTCCCGTTTTCGAGAACTTAAGTCCCACTGGTGTAACTTTAACATTCACACCAGATGGATTTTCAACACTTGCAACATACACTGCTGGTTCCTGACCATAGTATGTAACGGTTCGATAAACAGATAAACTTCCATTCAAATTCGATACACCAATTGAAGGGTAGTTGAAGTTGTAGGAAGGTGTAGGAGATTTCTGGCATTGAGTAAGTTCGCCAGTAATGTTTTTAAGCTGTGATGGACTTGCTCCATTGCTGCAGAGAAAATCGAGAGCATCTTGGGAATCAAAATCGTATACTAGTCCGGGATTGAGTGATGCAAGTGGATTAATGTGTCCAGATCCGTAGTCGAATGGAGTTGTTTGAGTTCCATTTGGATCTCTTCCTATGAGGTGGTTTGTGTTATCAATTACTGTTGCTGTAACATCATAACAAAGGCATCGTAAGAGTCTTTTTCATATTTCAAACATAGACGATAAAAAAACCTACCTGTTGTCATGATTGCGGACATTATAGCGGCAGGAGACCAAGTCGGGTGGTAAGATTTGATAATTGCTGCAACAGCGGATATGTGTGGACAAGACATTGATGTTCCTGAAATGATGTTATAGTCGACAGGTCGTTGTTCAACTGTAGCTTCCGTAGCCACCGGAGACCATGCTGCCAGAATATTCAGTCCAGGTCCTGTGATATCAGGCTGCATTTTTCGATAAACAAAATATTTACAGTTAGGATTCATAAGTTGTTTTCAACTTATTTAATAAGCACTTAACTAAATTGTTTGTCCAAAGAAAACATAGTCCAATGTGTAACCTTGCCTTGATAATATCTGGTGTTATTATATTTGGCCCCATGGAAGAGAAAGCTGCTGCTTCTGGAGCAGGTTTGGTACCAATAACAGTTATTGTTGGGTAGATTTTAGCAACGGGGTTCCTAAAAATAGAAAAAGCATTAGAACCAAAGTTTCAGTAATCACTTTTGACATCATCAAAGTGTGACTTAACTTTCATATTGTAGATTTTTTTCAAAACTCACTTATCTGTGTTAATGTATGCTTGAAGCTCTTCTACAGCATCTTGGCCAATAATAGTGCTTGGAATGACAAACTGAAAACCGACTTCTTTGGCGTTATGGTCGATAAGTATCATTCCAACACCACCACCTTGCTTTACTATTATGGATTTTTCTTCTCTTTTGTCGATGAAGTTTTCAATTGTGCAGATAACAATTTTTCCGTTGATTAACGTAGGATCTAGAGTATTGTTCTTGCAGAAGCTGGTAACAAAACATATCAAAGAATTTGTATCAAAAAACAATTCTTAGAATTCGGTTTAGCCTTAACTCAATCATAGAAAATCGGCTTGTAACTTGTAAGTATCACCAATGAAGTTTGTGTGTTATAATATATATACCTAGCATTTGTTGCTGGAACTCCAGACGCTGCGGCTGAACTTCCATATATCAAACCATGTGAATGCTCCATTTTTATTGGATTTAGAGAAAAACCCTGAAGGCAGATAAACATTTGTTAAAGGATCATGACGCAGCCACAACCGTAACGGCTATTTAAAATCTTATGTATTGCATATATATTTATCAATGGTTTGTGCTATAAATTTCACCTTCAAAACTTTTGAGTTGCCAAGGTAGATATTTGAACTGAATTCTCGGTCTAGTGTGCTAGCAGCAACGGTGAGGATCCAAGGAGCGACATTGCAAGCAGTTCGAGGAAAAACCGAGTTTCCAGCAGAAGCAGAAACAAGAATTCCCTTTTGGAATGCATGGAATGCTCCAACACTGACTGCATCCTCGAAGTAATTTGGCTGCGGAGGATTAGGACCAAGGGAGAGAGAAAGTATGTCAACGCCGTCATGAATGGCATCATCCATAGCAGAAAGAACATCAGCATCATTGCAAAATCCAAACCAACAGGCCTTGTAGATAGAAAGTCTTGCACTTGGAGCACCACCTCTAGCTGTTCCTTTGGCAATTCCGAATAAGCTAGCATTCTCAACAATGGATCCTGCAATGGTGGAAGCTGTGTGTGTTCCGTGTCCGTCACTGTCTCTAGCTGATCTGAAGAAAACCTTGTCGACAAAGTCTTCTAGAGGACCAGATTCTGCTTCAAACCCTTTTGAATAGAACCGCGCACCAATGATTTTGCTGGAATGTCCAAACACAAGATAAAATCATGGTCATTATCAAATTGTATCGAACCGAGATATGATGGCACGAGTAAGTTTCATGTTCATATTTTATTTACGTGATTAAGCATGCTTGGTTCATGACTAGGTCTCAGACACGGATAAAAAGAGAGGGTTGTGTCAGAAAATCAACAGTCAACTTAAAACTTAGTCGAATATTTATGATTAAACAGACTTGGTGTATCAATCTTAAGGACGAGTCTATGATGGATTTTGAATTCCGAAATGTGTTCTTACTTGTTGCAATTGGCTTGCGTAAAATTATCACCGGTAACACACTCTCCCTTGAATTTCTCAGGCACGGGACCTATTCCGTAATCATTAAAGCTTTCCGATTCCGGCCATACTCCTGAAAACCAATGTGAAGTGAGTCACTGTAATAATCCAAATGAAAGAAAAATGAGAATGCATCGAAGGAAGTAATTACCAGAGTCAATGACACCAACAATGACATTGGATGTAGAGTCTATAGCAATGTGGTTGCTATTGTAGACTATGCCTAATCTAAGAAAATCCCAAGAATGTGTTGTGTGGAGCTTACTCATTTTGCTCTCAAAAACCGACACAACTGAATCATACTCTGAAACATAATCCAAACATCCATCAGAAGATTCTTTCAGATTATAAAGATTTAATGCAAGAGTACAATACCTGCAAGCTTATTAGCTTGATCCGGCGTAATCATGGCCGAAAAGCCTCGAAAGCTTTTACTATAATGGTGTAGGGCTGTTGCCTTTGCATCACTGAGACTGAAATGTTAAAAGAATTATGTGATCTTTGATACGGCAAGTTTATCTATATGATAAAGGAATTTGTCTTAAATCTGTTGATATACCTTCCAGTGACTGAAGCTAGTATCTCATGGTTTGCTCTGATGACAGATTCTGTATTAGGATGTGAATGATCTCCCATGTAAATTATATAATGCTGCATCAAGGAAAATTAACATGTTAAGCCATGTTAATATTGTAACTCATTGTCAGACACTCTGACACGACACATTTTTTTAGAGGTGTCGGTGCTACGTATAAAAATAGATTATATAATATAACCACTTGTATGATATGTGCATGCATATACAATAGCATTAAGCAATATATCTACTTTCAGAATGGTAGTTACCTTTGGAGTGGATCCATTCACCAAAGTATATCCAATGAACAAGAGAAAGGTGAGAGAAAAAACTGTGGTAAACCCCATCATATGCAAAAGGGTTGAGGACAGAAAGCTAGATGCTGAAATGGTGACTCTTATGGTATGTGATTCTCTCTTTTTATAAGCTAAAACAAACTAACTTACATGTCATAATCATATTTAAAAAATCAGTAGCCGGCTTTAAATGTTTCTGCTTATAACTTTGTGTGCATTTGGGATTCTAAAAAGGGAAATTTAGAAAAAGGTTATAATATAATATCGAGATAGATATATGTTTGACGTACTAGCAGCATTTGGAAGAAGAATAACAAACCACAATTATTGGATTCAGAAGTATATTGCTAACTGATACATTGCATGTTATGGGAGAATAAATTACATATGCTTAGAGACCAAAAGCTATAGGACACAAATGCCTGCTGCTAACTGCTAAGATAAACTTTGACCTTACAAACAAGGTTTTGAACAATCTACATTGTAGGAGATATTTTACTTGGAATTACAAATTAGTAGTATGACATTTGATAAGAAATAAGACTCGAGAAAGTTGGGTTTGAAATTTTATTGAAACAATGATTGATCAGATTTTACTGGTTCACAATCAAACTTTATGAGTAAAAAAAATCTTAATCAGCCTGCTATAACAAAACTAGTTTTTCAGTGTTGTCAGTAACTTGAAGTATAACCGCTGAAAATTCTTGCCCGTTTTTAATTTAAAAATACTCAAAAAGTTGAAACTAACAGCATGGTAGAGTTGACTTCTAAAAAAGCCAAAACAATTTTAGAGGTGTAAAATCGATTCTATCTAAAATTATAACTTGAGTTTAAATATGATTTTTACATTAAAATTCATTATTCAACTCACTTTTACTAAATGTATCCAAACATAAATCAATTTTATTAAACTCAACTCTACAAAACTCAATTCTTTCAAAACTCAATTATGTTCACCATCAATCCAAACACACTAATCTTTGCGTTTTTGAGAAATCTAAATTAAATTCGACCAAAAAAAGGAAATATACATTTAATATACAGGCCAACGTAAGTAACCAACATCACATACAAATTATTTTTCTGATTATTTCAGATTCTGTTTTTATACACAGCTTAAAAGTAAAATCAGCATCCACTTCCATATAAGAGGGGAATTCACATCCACCATGGTAAATAAAAAAGATGCATTTCATTTGATCCAATAGCTCCGTAACTTACAACTTGTACAAATTATAACAATAGTTTAAACAACTGTGGTTCTTTGAAATAAAATCCATTAGCATTAACCTTCCTCTCCGAACTCCTTGGTGAATCTCTCGTGAACATCGAGGTCAGATTTGCTTACTGTAGGCCTTTGTCTAGCAAGTACTTTGTCAAAATCGGTTCTTGATATAGGTGGAGGAAGGATCTACATAGAAAATTATAACTATTAGTCCTCATTATTTTGACTAAGAACTCAGAACAGTCAATAAAATCTGTGTCATCTGAATACCTTTGAAGCAAGTCCCTGTGTGGCAAGATCCTGCATTGTAATTTGTACTGCATTCTGTTGCTTCTGTCCACATGGTATCCACATACCTTCTGGACTCTTGAAGAAAAACATGGCATCTTGGGTTTTACGAACAGGTTCGAATAAAACATCCTTAACCTGCAGAAGAGACCCAAATACCTTTAACTTGAAACCCATAAAAATAAAATGATAATTGTAACTAAACGTATCATATAGAAGTTAAACTTACACAGACAGATACATCTGAACCTGAAAACCCCTCTGACTTGCGAGCCAAGTGTTCAAAATCACTTTCAGTCAAATTATGAGGAGTGTCTCCTAGATGCACCTGTTCTTATCAAGCCATGAAAAAAATGGTCAGACCAGTTGTTTGGTTCCAATAAGACATCCTTCAATAAAGTTAATAAACATAATCTCAAATTATTTCCCTTGCCTTGAACATGTGTTGGCGAGCCTTTAAATCTGGTAGTGGAATGTATATACGCTTATCAAAACGCCGCCTTATTGCCTGCCATTGCAAGTTGATCAATCAAAACACTATTTCATTGAATCAATATGAGAACAAATAAACAACTATTTTCCTCTTACCTGGTCTAGAGCATATGGTGTATTTGTTGCTGCAAGAACGAGAACTTTCTGATCACTGTGTCCAACCCCCTAAAAGGAAAAGCGAATAAACTACTTTATTGCACTGAAAATAAATTTTATCTTAATCTTAATATATAGAGGTCATAAAGTAGCTTTTCCCCCCTAAAAGAGTTGCAATATTATAATTTGCTCAGCGCTTGCGTTTTTTATACAATACGATGCTTTGCATTTACTTTGAAACTGTTGTCACATGCTTTGTGACATCCTGTCACAATTTAGTAATCTGCTTAGCATTGTCACATGCTTTATGACATCCTGTCACAATTTAGTAATCTACTCGGCATTTGTTTTAACAGTTTATCTTTTATTTTTAAAATTAAAAAAGTACTTATTCCCGCCTAAACTGCAGAATTCCCACGAAACAGTGTCTTTTATGTGTAAAGGTAATACTTTTTAATTGTTGTTTTGCGCTGTTTATCCTTTATGTGGTATATTTTTATTGTTTCAGAACTGGCTAGTAATAACCTAAAGTTTCAGAATCCAAACTACAACAATACCATATGGAGCTTGGTTTCACAAAGACAGGGTGTTTTAACATTTATAACCAAATTGTACGGAAAAGAAATCAAAGGGAGTTGAGATAGAAATAATTTCATTCTTTTGGTATGTATTCCTGGCAAGTATTTGTGCCAAGAACAGCAGCAAGCTATTTCAAAACTATGGATGTAATAGACGAATATTAAACCCCCAAAAAAAGTCAGAATCATGATTCTTAAATTTCAATTGTTGGACCAATAAATGAAATACAAAGTCCAAACTAATAGGACACATACATAAATATAATTAAAAAGGAAAAGCACAATAATTCAAATTCTTTAAAAGTGCAAAGAACGCAAGGAAGAAAAACATGATTCTTATGGAAAGAAAAATGGATAGCTAATTCTCTAGTCCTCATTTTTTTCTCTTACATAACTATGGTCTAAACACAAATGAAACAAAATAATCATCGTTATATAACATAAACTTTCTAGATGAACTAAACCAGTAACAAGTTACTTATTTCAGGAAATTTCTATCATGAATTGCAATTTCTAACTAGACAATTACCAGCAAACAAAGACTAAAAACAAACAAATTCAAAAGGAGAAACAAGAATAGAAGATATTAGATGTGGTCATGTGAAGATAACATAAGAGGCACTAAGTACAATGATAAAATACCAAATGAGCTTTGCAGCACAAGATAACAAGGATAAGAATAGTTTGAATTACAGTGTACAGGTAGGGGAAGAGAGAGAAAACTAGATTCTGAATATTCTTAGATTGACATGGTAAGTAGTTACTATTGACTAATGATGTTATACATAATACTAATATAATGCTACTATTTACAGTAAAATATTAAATTAGGTCAGGTAATGGTTCAGTATTACCATTATTATCACAATCTCAAGGGAGAGTTTGAAAGACCTAGACCTTATTTGGGCTTATCTCACATACATAAACACTTGTGTAAGTGTTTAGAAAATCTTCTAACAATAGTTGATGATATGTTCATAATAAAAAAAAATTGAATATAAAAAGGCATACCTATCAAAAGCAATATACTATAAATTTATTGATACGTTTGAAAATAAGAGATATGTTCATAAATTTCTTTTAATTAGCTCCCCAACATTGCTCTTCTAAAAATGGAAACAGCTCGTGTGAAGCTTACCCGTCATCCTCTATATACATCGTTCTAATATATCAACCTTAGAAATTATTTGCAGGGAAAAATATGTGAACGCTAATAGCTCATTGAATTTATGACTTAGTGACATAAGCTCTCATATGGCAAGCATTTGTTATTGAATAAGCGTTTAGTTAAACTGTTTATCCAAATACCACCTAAAACTAATGACCCAAATTAGAAAAAATAATGAAATCAAGAAGCAAATAGCAAGATTGTTTACTTAATTAAAAAAAAAACTAATTGATTCCACAATAAAATTCAACATATTTTGAAATTTCTAAAATAATACAAGATATAACAAAATATTCTGTAGCTATTCTAAAAATGAAAGGAAACTAAGCCGCTGTATAAGATGTCACTAGATGGCGGTTAAAGGATATTATAGAGATTAAGATATTTCAAGAGTATGCTTAAATGTAACAAAGCGACACAAACTATTGAAATCAAGAAGCAAATAGCAAGATTGTTTACTCTATTAAAAAAAACTAATTGATTCCACAATAAAATTCAACATATTTTGAAATTTCTAAAATACTACTCCCTACGTCCCAAAATAAATGTCACGTTTTAACAAATTATTTGTCTCAAAATAAGTGTTGCTTTCACTTTTCAATGCAATTTTCATTCTTTTCTTCCAATTGTACCCTTCAATTAATACTACCTATATCATTCTCAATTCACTATTCTCTTGCTTAACATTTATGATCATTAGAATATACCAATAGCTAACAAGGATAATGTGGTAAAATTGATATTCTCACTCTTTCATTTTTAACACTTTCTTAATCTGTATGAAATACTCAAATGCGACACTTATTTTGGGAAGGAGGGAGTACAAGATATAACAAAATATTTTGTAGCTATTCTAACAATGAAAGGAAACTAAGCCGTTGTATAAGATGTCACTAGATGGCGGTTAAAGGATATTATAGAGATCAAGACATTTCAAGTGTTGATTGCATGCTCAAATGTAACAAAGTGACACAAACTATTGATAAGATGCAGAAGATGAATAAGCTCAACTGTGGACCATAACTCAACAACTATGGGGCCATATGAAGAGAGACAACAAAATTTGCTTCATAAATTGTCTAAAATGATCACGTGGTTTGTCTTTCGGCAGCCAACAGACTGAAGCATGCAACACGAATTTATATGGCAGTGAATTCCTCCAGGTCCTTTAAACTTGAAAACCATTTGGCCATATGAAAAGGCAGAGCAAATAAAACATACTTTTGACAACAAAAGCATAAGAGAGCCATTTGCCTAGATGGGTAAATTTGATTACCTTCGAAATTAAGAGAACAATTAAAGTTTTCAGTAGGGTGTGAAATTTTTAAAATATGACACATACAGGGACTTGAGCTTTTTTATGTGTTCAAAATAATGCAAATCAAATGTCAACAAAAAACATTTACAGTTCTTATCAAGATATCCCCACCATTAATTTATTACCTGCATCTGCACCAGAAGTTCAGTTTTAATTCGTCTTGAAGCTTCACTCTCATTGCCTTCTCCACGCGTACCACATAGAGAATCTATTTCATCAACAAATATGATGGAAGGTGCACTTTCGCGAGCCATTTCAAAAAGATTTGAAACCAGCTTTTCACTTTCACCCATCCACTTCGAAACGAGGTCTGATGAAGAAACACTGGTAAAAAAAATTAAAAAGCTCAATATGCTGGAAGAAATATGTCCACCTATGAACCTACATTTCTAATTATACGAAAGACCTTTCTTCAGACACTGTCATTGTCCACGAAGAGTGGGAACATTGCATGTTCCCATGTGCATGAAATAAATTAAAATCATGCAAAAACAACAGCAACTGAAACATTTCCTACCAGGGGGATTAAGTTCATTGAACAAGTGATACCACAAATGCCCCATCATAAATGACAAACCATTTTTTATTTTGACATCATTCTTAATGGTATGATATGTAGTTTTCCTTTCTTACTGGGCTTTTTTTTAAGTGTTTTCCATTCACACCAAAACTACCTTGAATGAGATTCTGCTATCCATTTCATAATAAGGGTTAAGCCAACTTTATTTCTAATGCCATCATTCCTAATCCTTCCTTATCCAATGTGTCCACTAAGCTACCTTAATATTCTCAATTTCCCATCTATGAGATATATTGAGCTTAATGTATTGTTGTTCGGGTCTTCCTAAGAGCATTCAATTTCATACAGTATCACAAATTTTAATTGGAGTTGTGTGCACTTCAGCTTGAATGGTAACTTTCAATCACAAATTATGCCTTAGTGTTCCTTTATTTTATCCATCCCATTTGAATCCTATAATTTACATATCCCTTTACACCCCGTTATTTTGCAATACTTACACCATGAAATAAACTGTATGGTCTTGAATTTTCACCAGTCGGCTAGAATTGATGTGCCTCCTATCTTCCCATTTATTTCTTCTCTCAGCGCTATAACTTACATAATATAGTTTTTAGAAAGCATGCACCATGACATCGACTCTTGGATAACTAGGCTAAGTAAGCACATGCAAAATAAGAAAAATAAGGGCTCAAAGTTGACTTCTCACTCTTGATAAAACTTATGTATTACTCCCTCCGTGTTTTATTATAAGTCGTTTTTGACTTTTCACACATATTAAGGAATGTAATTATTATGGTATGGAAAAGAGAAATTATGAAGGATTTTACAAAATAGTCCTTCATTAATGATATTGAAAAGACAAATTTACATAAGTGAAAGGGGAGAGAATAATAAATATTTAAAGGTATAATAGAAAAAATAACATTAATGTTCATTGGTATTATAAAACGGCTTATATTGTGGTACAAAATATTTTCCCAAAGCGACTTATAATAAAAAACGGAGGTAGTATTAATTACTCAAATATATAAGCAATGCAAACTCCTTTCTTCCATAGAATCTTCCATAATACCACTTTGGCTACTTTATCATACAATTTTTCCAAATTGATGAAAACCATGAGTGGATCTTTCTAATTCATATTATATCTCACCATCAAGGTACAAAGTAGCTACATAGCTTCCACAATCAACCTAACCGGCATAAAAACAAACCATGTATTGTTTGTAATTAGGGTCTCTTGTCTTAATATCCACTCAATTACCCTCTCAATAACTTCAAGAGAGATTAAAACTGGAATATAATAGAATGATTCCCTGCGGACAGGCTGATTATGGAGAGAAAATTGGAAGGACAATATGGAGCTGAAGAGTGTAAATTTTCCTGCATACAGGCTGATTGGGGAGAGAAATTTGGAAGGGCAGAATGGAGATGAAGAGAGTAAATTTTTCTCAAACCAAGAAAAGAAATGGAGGGAGAGTGAAACAATGAAAAACATTATTATTAATTTTATCTCAACAGCATTTTATTTTGTAATCAGTAACTCAGACAACCGGTAGGACCAGAAAGTCCAGACAAAATGTATAAAATAATATAATATAAAAAATTCACCTGAAAAACGTAGAATCGGCTTCAGTTGCAACAGCCTTAGCCAAGTATGATTTACCTGTTCCAGGTGGTCCATACAGCAAAAATGCTCTCCAAGGTCGTCTTTTACCTGAAATAGACCATGGGAATTTGGCAATCATATTAAATACTTATAACAGATAGCCCTTGTCCAATTCCTGTTTCCTCCCATTTGCCACCAGACAAACATATTTTTGCAACACATATTGACCCTGGCGTGTTTGCTCACCTTACAACCACTGGGCCTAAAGCATGGGATTTTTACTACTAGTTTTATTTGCATCAAATGTTCAATTGCTCCCAAAAGTTAAGTAAATGTTGGGATTGACAGTGATGTTTAATATAAGCATATGGCATAGTAATTTGACAAAAATTACACTTTAGAGCTTCAACATAATCAAAGTGCCTCAGTGCTCTAATCAAACTCACCAAATTCAAAACATGCACTAAATGCAGCAGCTGATCATGATGATCAGGAAACTCACCGGTGAAAAACTGAGGAAACTTCACAGGCAAGATAACAGCTTCCTGCAAAGATTGTTTAGCACTCTCCAACCCAGCAACATCATTCCACTTCACGTTCGGTTTCTCCCTCACAATCGCAGAATTCAACCCAGCCCTAAGCTTCGACTGCTCGGGATCCTCTCCATCTCCCTCGCCATTCTTCGGCTTCGTTTTTGGCTTCGTAGCAACAGCAGCATCCCCATTAGAAGCAGGTCCCGGCCCACCATCATCGAGAACAGTTCGGATCTCCTCAGCGCGACGAAGATACTCAGTAAATTTCTGAGTAATAGCTTCTTTAATTTTGGGATTCTTCTCGTACTTGAGATGCGTTTTGAAATACTCCAACGCGTTCATGTATAGAGGAAACGCTTTTGCGTAGTTTCCCGCATTATCTTCCTGTACCGCTTGTTTCACGTATTCTATTGCTTGCTCCTTGAAATTGCTATACATCTTCTTCTTCTTCTCGTTCGTATGGTTAACGATGATCGCATATACTGGTTGAGAATCGAGACCTCGTGGAAACCCTAGAGGTGTAAGAACATCGTTTGGGGAAAATGAAATTGGAAATTGGAAACCCTAGTTTTTGTTTGGAGTGTCTTTGGGAAGAAAGCGTTTGGCGTTTGGATTAAGTTGATAATAAGTGGCTGCGATTCAGGGAAGGTTCTTCTGACTAGAAATGAGAGAAACTTCCACGTTTGAATGTTCGATTTCGCAGCTAGTCGGAGATAATAATGCTTGCATTTTGATTTTGTATGTTTTTAATTTGATTTTTAATGTTTTTAATTTGATTTTTTAAAGAAAAAGGGTAAAGTTAGTATTGTTTAAAAAATAAAAGGCAAAATAACATTTTTAGTCCTTTAACTTTTGCTCGGGATCTATGTTGGTCTTTTATCTTAAAAAGGTGGCAAGTTGGTCCTTTAACTTTTAAATTGGTGTCACGTTTATCCTTCTGTGTGTTGTTGTTAGTCAAACTTTGAAAAAATTGCCACGTTTGTCCAGGTGGAGCTGCTGACGTGGATGTGAAGTGTCTTAGACGAAGAAAAACTCAGACAAGCTTGGAGAAGTGTAACCATTACCCACCATTACCCAGAAGAAGAAGGCACGACAAGCTTGGAGAAGTGTAACCATTACCCACCATTACCTAGACGATTCAAGGTTTGCAGACGCGAAGATTCAAGACACGAAGGATTTAGGGTTTTCTGATTGAGGATTAAAGACGATTCAAGAGACATAATCAAAAGGTTAGTTCATTTCTCTCTGATTTAGGGTTTTCTCGTAGAGGTTCAGATTTAGGGTTTATGTAAATTTGTTAGTGTAAACGTTAATTACTTACATGATATGATTAGGTATTATGGATGAATACATAACTCTCAAAATTCATCATAGTGGTGAGTTCACAGATGAAGATCGTAGTGTATATGAGAATGGAGTAGTAGATGATTTGAGGGTAGATGTAGACAAATGGAGTTATTTTGAGCTAGTTGGTATATTGAAAGACTTGGGTTATAGGGAGTTTGAAACAATATTTTACGAGGACCCTCAATTTGGGATGAATCCACTTGTTGATGACAATGGTGCTTTAGAAATTGCAGATTTGTATAGGGTGCACCAAAATGTTGATATTTATATTGAGCACACATTGTCTCAACCTGACTATTGTGATGTTGTTGTTGATGAAGTTAATAAGGATCCTGCTGAAATTGTAGATGAAGCCACTGTTGGGTTAGAGGAGTTGCTTAGTCAACTGCATGAAGAAGTTGTGGAAGATGAACAAACTGTTAGACTAAGGCACGGATCTAGAAGGGGGGGTTGAATAGATCCCTTTTAAAAATTTGAGTGGCGCTACCAATAAAATTGGTTTTCAAAATTGTTTTCAAATGCGGAAGCGGCCTTGGAAAATATAGTCTAAAACGAACAACTATTGGAGAGCCGGATATGCGTCAAGCAGATGAATTTAAGACGATAACGGATAGTAAATCACTACACACTTTTATGCAAAACTCAGATGTGATTCACTCGTACTATTTCCTTATTCCAATGATAAAAAATTACACCAAAACTAGCAGCAAAATTAAGGCAGTTTTAGTTCAGCACTTTTGTCGAACAGTTGGTGTGCACAAAACTAGCAGCAAAATTAAGGCAGTTTTAGTTCAGCACTTTTGTCGAACAGTTGGTGTGCACAAAACTAGCAGCAAAATTAAGGCAATTTTAGTTCAGCACTTTTGTCGAACAGTTGGTGTGCACAAATACCTTAAATGATATTTGTGTTGAATGAGTGATTGAAAAAGCCTTAGTACAGTATTTCTATTGTACTTAGTAGTTAAAAAACAGTGTTTCACCAACTCACTCAATCAATACTACAATTTGACAAAATCACTTATTCTAGAATCACTTAATTTTTAAGCTGAAATTGAAAATGCAGAAAATAAAGGAACACAAGATTTGATGAGGCAGTTCCCCCAGTCGTCCTCGCGTTGGGGTACGTCTGCCCTCAATTCTACAAAGAGAATTGAGATATGTATTGAATAGATATCACCTGTTTGGTAGAACAGTTATACACAAGAATCGATAGACAATTGATACAAACAATCTTAATGTTGCTGATAATTTCTACCACTTCTTGCCCCTTGATTCAAGATGAATCAAGTCCTCCAATTTGATGTGAATGACCTCCGATTGCAGCCACCTTATTGACAACTCTTCCGTTGATCAAACCTTCGGCACGGCTGATCTTAGACACACCCAAATTGAACCCGGAACGTCTTCAACCTTTCAACGCCCTAGCTACTAGATTGATCAACCTTCCGCTAATCAATCACCTTCGCACTCGCTTGATTGTTGAACCGACGATTCCGTAACAAAAGCCTTCAAAACCTGTAGTCTTGATAGGTAAAACCTCAAGGTTTTCTCCCAAGAAACACCTGCACCAGCTTCCACTCGAACCGGATCTTCAATCACGCGTTCGAACCTTATCACCGTCGAGCAAACCACAAACCGCAGCAAAAAATTGATTATCTGTAATTTGAGGATTTGTGAGTTGATTGAACGATGAAGATGAAAAACACTGATGCACCTCTTTCACGTTTCTTGACCTGAACACTTTCTCACAATGCTTTCAAAAATGTTGTTAAAAAATGTTTGTTGTTAAAATTGAAAAGACAGCTATTTATAGTAATACACAAAACAGACAGTTGACAGATCAATGAAACATAGCAGAATTTCTGTTTCTGCGCGCGAACGGTCGACCATAGGGTCGGCGTGCGCTGAGCCGTGTGATTCTCAAACTGTCATGCGCCGAGTCAGCGGTCGACGCATGATCTTCATGCGCTGACCCGTGAGATTCTTAAACCTGCATGCGCCAAGTCAGCGGTCGACGCATGGTTCAAAAATCTGCAAAAACATAAATATGTTTGTTGTTTCGTGCATCTTGTCACGACCAAACATTAGTCACATATATTGCCAATGAAATATGATGATTTAAAAGGATATAGGAAGGATGTAATATGTTAAGTATTGCATGACGATTCTGATTCATCCGAGGTTGTACTTTGTCATCATCGTAAGTATGCATGACGACTCTGATTCATCCGAGGTTGTACTTTGTCATCATCGAAACTTGAGAACGTATGTTGTGAGACAGTTTTCCCTCACATTCTCCCCCTTTTTGATGATGACAAACCTATGCGAAGCTTGGTGAACACAACATGCGATATCTTTAACATAGTAGTAAGCTCCCCCTTTCTTTTACAGTCATAGCTGTTGTGATCTACAATCTACTTGTCTTTTCTCCCCCTTTGACAACATCAAAAAGAGATGGAGAAAGGTAAAGTTTTGGCATATTAACAATTAACAAAATACTCAACAGGCTATAAGTAATCATATACCAATATCCACACAAAATATTGACAATGAGCAAAATATTAAAAATAGATTAAACCAAATTAAGGACACATAAGTCATAACATTTTATAGGAATCAAGACTGTAAAACAAACATTAGTGTGCACTTAGGAGAGATAAAACAGAACATGATAACAAAAACAACATGGAGAATGAGCAAATGCAAAAACAAATGACTAATATCCTTGTCCCTTGCCCATATCAAAGGAAGACGGATAACGATATGGATCAGCCATATCAGTGAGGTAATCCACTGCTTGATTCAGGCGATTGATGCTGCGAGAGACGGCTGTTTCTTGGTATCCATGGGCAGTTGTGAAAGCTGCAAATCTTTCATTCATTCTTGTTGAAAAAGAGTTGAACTGTTCAGATTTGGTGTGTAGCTCAGTTCGGATGCACAAATGCAGATTTGCACTTAATGTCACATATCAAGCCATATTTGATGCCTACCTAAAATGCCACAAAAAAATTTGCATCCAAACAATTTATCATACAAAAAAAAAAAAAAAGGTCATACATATGCAACATAGGTCAAACGATACAATTGTTGATCATGAGAGTTATTAGAGAGAGAGAGAGAGAGAAATGGAACAATATCACCTTAATGCCGGAGTAGCTTGATAAACAACATACTTATACTTACACGAATATCAAATTGTTAGAAGTACAACAGCATGATTATTTGAATGAAATAAGATAACATCAGCAAATATTATTCCCGTTCCGAAATGTCGAGGATGCCAAGTTCTCGGCGGATATGAAAGAAAGGTTCCGTTGCTAGCGGCTTTGTGAAAATGTCCGCTAGTTGGTTTTTAGTGTCAACGTGTTCAAATACAACATCACCTTTCTCAACATGGTCCCTAAGAAAATGGTGTCGAATTTCTATATGTTTAGTGCGAGAGTGTAATACGGGATTTTTGGTAAGGTTAATAGCGCTAGTGTTGTCACATAGGATAGGAATACGTTCAAGTTTAAGATTGAAATCTAGTAGTTGTTGCTTAATCCACAGAATTTGAGCACAACAACTACCAGCGGCAACGTATTCCGCCTCGGCCGTTGATAAAGCAACTGAAACTTGTTTCTTGCTATGCCAACTAACCAAGGAGTTTGAAAACAAATGACATGTACCACTAGTGCTTTTCCTATCCGATTTGCACCCGGCAAAGTCGGAATCGGAGTAACCTACCAACGAGCAATCACTACCCTTAGAATACCACAATCCATACTTCGGGGTACCTGACAGGTATCGAAGAATTCGTTTAACAGCTTTTAGGTGGGATTCTTTGGGACATGATTGGTATCGTGCACACATGCACACACTAAACATAATATCAGGACGTGACGCAGTAAGATAGAGAAGTGAACCAATCATACCTCTATATCGTTTTACCTCTACGTCCTTGCCATTTTCATCTTTATCCAAATTTACGCATGTAGGCATTGGGGTGTCTATGGCCTTGGATTTTGCCATGTCAAATCTCTTGATCAAGTCCAAACAATATTTTGTTTGGCTCACGAATGTCCCTTCTTGGAGTTGTTTAATTTGCAGGC